GGCCCCCCCCCCGCCCCCACACCGGGACCCAGCCCCCCGCCTGTAACCTGGGCTCCAAGGGTGTGGGCGCGGGCAGCCATGGCAGCAAGGCCACCCAGATCTCCCCTGGCAACTCTGGACTGAAAAACAGCCAGAACGCTGTCCCCAACTTCGGGTCCTTGAAGGGCAAAGTGAAACGGGAACGAAGCATCTCAGTGGACTCAGGAGAACAGCGAGAAGCCAGCACCCCTTCGCTGGACGCGGAATCGAAAGGTAATGCTCTCTTAAGCCTTCGGCAACATGCTCTCCTGCTTAGCCCAAGCATCCTGGCGGGACCCGGGGTGCTGGGAGCGAGGGCGAGCGCCCGCTGCACCTCCTGTTTCGAGGCTGCTGCTTCCCGGCCTCGCAGAGTCCCGTCCTTCCTGTCTGTCCGTGTTATTCCCTACAGCTCGTTGAGGACCTGGGCTCTGTTTTTTATGGGATGCTGTGGCCTGATATTCCCTGAAGCTGTAGCAAGCAGCCCTGCTCTGTAATGTGCAGACTTTCAATTTAGGACTGAGCTTGGTTGTTTTCTGTCCCCCTGCTGTAGGCCAAGCGCTGCCTTTGCGGCGCTCTCGCAGCTGCCCAGTTACCCAGTGGTGGTTAGTGAGGAGGTGAGGGTCGCCGTCAGGACCGTTCCGTGGTTTTGCCAGCAGCGGGTGGTTCTTGTGTCAAATCGCCTGGTTTCTGGAGAAGGGCTGAGTCAGTATTTGCAAACCCTTTGGCTTCCCTGTCGTAGGCTGCAGCCTCTTGGCATCCAGAGCTCAGGGCCCAGCCGCTGCGTGTGACACTTGGCGACAGAAAAGGCAGGACATCCTGGCAGGCTGCGGTCAGAGGAGCGTCCCCGGTTCTGACCGAGACTTGCACCTGCTCACGTGAAGTTGCTGTCCCCAGGAGCGGCTCCGCTGCTCTGACCTGTAGCCGTGACAAAGCCATGTTGCCCGACTGGCCGAGGCCAGAGCCATGTGTGGAATAAAGAACAGAACGTAGCTGGCAAGACCTGCTGCCCCCGGCAAGTTTCTCTCTGCTGGCATCGGGAGGCTGGTGTTTGCCATGGAGCAGAAGTGGGGAGCTGGCATCGGCGCCGTGGCAGCCGCAGGGCTTAGCGTTTGGCTGGCGCTGGGCAGAGCGGAGCCTGCGGGTCCCCTCTCGGGATCTC